TCTACGTCTCTCGTCTCTCGTCTCTCTCTCTCTCTCTCTCTCTCTCTCTCTCTCTCTCTCTCTCTCTCTCTCTCTCTCTCTCTCTCTCTCTCTCACACTAGACTGATTACAGAAGCACACGAAGAAGCTCTGGAGAACCTCTCTCTCTCTCTCTAGACTGATTACAGAAGCACACGAAGAAGCTCTGGAGAACCCCTATCACAACAGGAGCACTTCTCAAGCTCTTAAAAGCTTCTTACAAAGCAGTATGCTTTCAGGTAAAGCATGATGGTCATAAATAAAGGAAAGCGAGAGAAGAGCCTTGATTTGATCTCCCCTCCATCTTCATATTTGGCCCGCCGGCCATGGATTGGTGCAATAACTAACGTTAGAACCCGCCATCGCAAGAAAACAACAGTGACCCACTTGACTCATCACAGTAACTTCGTCTTCCCTCTCTTTCTCGCTCTTCCTTCTTCCATTTCAAATTCAATTTCTACTTACTCTCTCATCTGTTTTTACTTGCGTTGCGTGACGAAACGAACGGAGGTCGACTTGCATCCACGTGTGTCACTAGCGGGCTTATTCAAATGCGGTCGCCTTTTCAAACCGAACCCTTTTTTTATTTAAAGTTTTTGAACACCTTCAACTTTCCCATCTATGGAAATTTTATAGGGAAAACTAGTATACATACCCGTACTCTGTGGGCATTTTTTTCTCGTAACCTTTTTTATAGGGAAAAGGTTATATACAGTCGAGGCTCTAAACAATCAAATTTGAGCTTACCTCAAAATGTTTTTTAGAAGATAATGTTTTGATACTCAAATATCTTGAAATTGATCATCTCAACATTAAGATGCATGGACATCAAAAAAAAAAAATGGATTGTGTTTTGGAAATAGGCTCCAATTTGATTGTTTAGAGCCTAGGCTCTATACAAACTGCACCATTTACCTATAAAAAATTTATTGGGAAAAGTCTACATACATCCAATTTGTAGTATCTTGGCAGTTTTTTCTAGTAACAGTTTTTATATCACACTGTTAACTTCAATACTATTTTTCTTCGTAGCCACCTCTAGGTAAAAGAACGTTGCTTTTTTATAATCAAAATACCCCTCATGTTAACCATGTTGCTGCCAACATGTGTCTATCTAGCAGGGAAATGCGTCGGACCGAGATTGGGCCAGTCTTGCACAAAAATGTGTTTGACCTGCACAAGTTGAATATAGAACTTGTTTCGTCACAAAAAAAAGAGTTAGATCGGCTCCTATACAAGTTGTACCAGACCAGCACAAGTTGAATATAAAACATATCCAACACAAAAAAAGTGTTCGACCGACTCTGTACAAGTTGTGTCAGTTTGTGTTGGACCGACTTAGAAAGAAAAAAATGAGAAATGTAGCTAAAAAAAAATGATATTTTGGTTCAAACAATCTAACTTTTATTTTATACTTGATAATGGTTGTGAAAAATAAAAAAAGAATTAATAGTGTGAATTCAAAAATATTGAGGAAAAAGGACATTTACCTAGAAATACATACAAAAAGCATCTATAATTTTTCCAAAAAGCATCTATAATTTTTCCAAATTTATAGAGTTGTAATCACTTGAGCCAAGCAATCAAGTGTAACTACCTGATCACTTGTCAAAAAAACGACTCACTAATAATTTAAAATAACCAAAATGCCCCTTCATCTATTTGATCAAGCAACATGCCCTCTCTCCATTTCAAGAGAATATGTTCCATGACGATCTTCATGATGGCAACTCATAAAATTCCTTGAATGTAGCCAATTTAAAGAACCCCATTCCCTCCCAAAAAGACCAAAAGTACCACCATTATGCTATTTAGTGTGGAAACGGTTGATACTATTTTTCCATAAAGGTCAGGATTGTACGAGGTCCCTTCCTTTTCCTTACGCTATAGAAGGCACACCTTTAAAATTTGCCGGGGTGTTGGGAATTTTATGGTGCTTGGATATCTATTTTTATCTTTAATTATAAATTTTAGAATTTTTAAAGAGTAGACATTACAAATATTTTAAAATTTTGAAAATAAACCATCCAAATAACTTATTAAAAGATACATTATTTTTTAAAAACACAAAAAAAAAAAAAAACGAATCCACTATTATTTAGAATTGAAATTCGTTTTTTCTCTTCATATTTATACATCTCAAGATTGAGATGCTCAATTGGAAAGTTTTGCAACATCGGAATACTCTCTCGTAGAGGATTTTTTTATGTGCACAGTACTTCAATAGTATAATGTTGGCACTGTATATAAAACTTGAGTAATTACGTATAGACCTAAAATAATTACCTACACTACGAAATGGTCTGATTATAGGTATAAATTACAAAAGAAGGTCGGTCAACTCGCATTTTTTTTATGTTTTTCAAAATTTCCTTTCCGTCTGAGGATTCCATCGTCGGACCGCATTTTAACTTTATTTTATTTTTTTATAGTTTTATTAGTATGGCAGTGCCCAAGCGATCCGAAATTAGAATCCTCAGACCGGTCTACGAAGACAACAAAGCCCCAATAGAGTCGTCTAAGGTCCCCATCCTTGGACCACTATTTTTTCTAAAAATATAAGAAATAAAGCGTGGTCCAAAGATGGGGTCCTCGGACCGCCCTGGAATTGAGTTCTACTCAGTCAAGAGAGCGATCCGAGGTCCCCATCCTCCGGACGCTATTTTCCTCAAAAAAAAGAAATAAAGCGCCGTTGAGGATAGACCTCAATCTGTTGTATTTTCTCAAAAAATAAGAAAGCAAGAGCAGTCCGAGGATGGGGACCTCGGTCTGCTCAGGAACTGGGGCCTGCTCGATCCCAAGGGCAGTCCGAGGATTCTAACCTCAAACCGGCTAAGCAATGCCCTATTAATGAAACAAATTAAAAATTAAAATGTAATGCGAGAGGTAATTTTGAAAAAAATAAAAAAAAATGTGGGTTGACTGATTAAGGTTTGCCCAAAATTACCCTATTTCGTATTTTAGTTAAAGTTTTCGGATCCGTACGTTAAATCAATCACTCCATAGAGTAACTTTCTCCTTTCCAAAAATTAGGCAAGTGTTCTACTCTAGACTATTGCTCATTAAAGTTACCATAACAAGGCCTCTGTTAAGTAAGAAGGAATCCACCGCTTATGGCCAATCGATGGTCTAAAGTACATTACCAAATGCAAATGGACAGTGGATGTTCTCCAGGGGACATCTCTATAATATGGTCCCCATGACCCTATTAAATGTGAAATTTGAAGTGAAAACTTGAAAATATGTCCTCTAAGTCCAGCCGAATCTTGGAATATAATGTTTCTAAGGAGACCAATCAACGAAAGCAAATTACCCGAAAAAAACAAATCAACGAAAGCAAAGTTTTGTGATGGTTCACTTTATGGGGTCAAGTTCTTTTAAACGGCTCCGAGTTTCCAATAATAAAAGGATACAGTTCTTGATGAGTCGGCCGACTTGTATATTGTTGTGAGTCTCCTTATTCATCAAACTTTGATTTCTAAGATGGATGTCAAACAATGGCGCCCCTACTATTAGCCAAAATGGATGGTGAAATTTTTTTAAATAACTCTATTTTTATTTTTGAAAAAATAAAATATTTCATATTCATAATCACTATCATTGAAATCAAGATGGATTTTAGAGGGTGCATGCACTTGATGAGTAGCTGACGCATACTTCTTCATAATAAATGTGATATCGGTAATGGAATTTATGATATTTTAAAAGCGGGACGTGAACCTGTGATTAATGGGCCTACATGGAATACCCATCCAGCCTGTTTGTTGGAGTTGATCAAAGGGAAAATTATGAAAATCCCTCCAAAATGATGTTACTGTTTGTTTTTTTTGTGCTTTTATCCACCGGTCAAAAAAATAAATGTTTTAAAAATCAAACTACCTTTCCCCTCCCCTACCCTACCCTACCCTACCCTACCCTATTCTATCCTACCCACTAAATCTCTCTCTATCGACCTGCTCTCTCTCTATTTATGTTGAAAAATATGGACCGGTACAAAACTATGTTGGACATACTTCTGGCATCTGAAATTCCAAATACCCTACCCATTAATTCTCTCTCTATCTACCTGCGCTCTCTCTCTCATACTTCTGGCATCTGAAATTCCAAATACCCTACCCATTAAATCTCTCTCTATCTACCTGCTCTCTCTCTCTCTCTCGTGTTGAAAAATATTGTTTGGTACAAAAGTGTGCTGAACAGGCTTCTGCATCTGAAATTCCAAAAGTCAGTCCAACATACTTTTGTACCAAACTGCTTTTGCATTTTTAGAACTCAGAAACCGGTTCGACACACTTCTATGCCAAATTGCATTTTTTCAACACGAGAGAGAGAGGGATTGATATTGGGCAGATGGAGAGATATTCATATTGGGCAGAGAGAGCCTAAGATTGGGTAGAGAAAGACTGATATTGAGTGGAGAGAGAGAGATTGATATTAGGTGGAGAGAGGGCGGATATAGAGAGATTTAATAGTATGGTAAGGGAGGGGAATGGTACTTTAGTCTTTAAAATATTTACTTTTTAAATGGGTATAAGCAAGAAAAAACAACAACCCGTTATGGGTGTGATAGGGTAGTTTGGATATCTAGAATTGTCTACATTGCACCTTAAATTTGCTCTTACTGGACATAGCGATATAATATGGAATTGTCTAGAGACCATTTATCTTTTGTACACAATCATTCTTCTTTTTTAAATTTCAAAATGGGTGGTTGTAGTAATCTCATTGAATAAATACAAAATTTCAAAAAAAAAAAATTTCACTTCATGACTTACCTCAAGCCATCCAATTTGATATCTAATAATTGAGAATGATTATGACCTCCATTCACAACAGATAAATAGTCTCTTTGTAATATTGAAATGCATATATATATATATATATATATATATATAGCATGACTATACCATGCTTACCATGCCTCGAATAATAATAACTTAATAGTGTGAATTAATATTG